GGGGTGGGGGAGGAGGGGAGGGCGAGTAACCGTCGACGGTGCAGACTGATGGATGGCCTGGGGCGCATCTCGCCGCACCTGGTCACTCACTCCTTCAGGCTTTATTGGACGAGACTGGGGGATTCAGATAAATAACCTGTACGCAGCCCAGCCACACCGCCGGCAGACAGACAGACAGACAGACGATGAGATGTCGCGGAAGGACCAGACCAGTGGAGTGGGGGTGGGGGGTGGGGTGAGTGCGGTGCCTTTCGCTCACTTGCACGGTTATGTCGTCGACCACGTTGCCCTCCTCCGCCACCCACCTGTCAAACGAACGCCACACAACACAACACAAGACAAGACAAGACAAGATGCAAGAGCAGCTAGATTAGATAGATGTGTGATAAGGTGTGTGTGTTGTGTTGTTTCACAAACCGTTTCCATGACTCTCCGGCGAGTGTCTCGGCGGCCTCCTGGACGTTCTTGATGGGCCTGCTGGCGACCATGTCGACGGCCTCCTGGGAGGAAATGAACTCCCACACGCCGTCGCTGCACATGATGATGAACTGGTCCTTGGAAGGGTCAAGATTGTACACTGATTGATGGACGCACCCACATCATGTCATGTGGTGTGGTGGATTGGATTGGATTGTGCGAATGGTCTGGTCCGTGTGTGTGTGTGATCTGTTCTCTTCTGTTCTGTACATGTGATCTCTGGTTCGGCGATGACCCCTGCTGATGAGCCGACAGTGTCACCCAACGCTCTGATATACACACACAGACAGACAGAGAGAGAGGGAGACACACATATGAGACACACAGGGGAATGCAATGCGTGTGTTGTGTTGTGTTGTCGGGTCGGTGGGGCCGGGGCAGGGAGGGGAGGGGAGGTGCCCACCTAGACATGGCGAGTCCGGGGTAGAGTTTGCCCTTGACGAACACGCGATACGGAATGTCGCCCTCCAACCGGCGAACCTGACCACCTGCACACAAAAACAGAGACACAGACACGCACGGGCGTCGTTCTGGGGCATTCTAGTCAGAGGTGTGTGTGTGTGTGTGTACCTGATGCGACGATTCTTTTCTTCTCAGCCTCCAGGTTGGGCTTGTGGTCGTTGGTCAGATCCACAGCCCACACGCGACGAGCTGAAGCAACAAACACACACACACACACATACACACACACACTCCTTATTAGAGCCAGGCTACCCACAGCCAGCACGCACACACACACCTGTGAAATGGTTGTCACCTTTTTGGTCTACTTTGCCGAGTACGCATCTGGAGTCGCCGACGTGGGCCACCCACAGCTTGTGCTCACTCATGCGGTGCAGCGCCACAGTGGCGGTGCTCCCGCTCAACGTGCAGTCGAACCGACCCGTCGCAGCCGTCTGCTCCAACAACTTGTGCACCTGCAAAACCAAACACACACACACACACACACGTCGCCACACGTGAAAGAGGGGGAGGGGGGGGCACGGGGCGTGTGTGTTGTGTGTGTATGATGGGATGGATGGTAGGGAGCGACCTGTAGGAATGCGTATCTGAGTGCGGCTTTAGGGTCTGTCTGGAAGTTGGAGTGGCCGCAGACGAGCTTGGGGATGTGCTGCTGCACGAAATGCGACACGTCATGGCCGTACGGGCCGTGACCTACACACACACACACACACACACGATCACACACACATGTGAGCACAGGGCGGGGCGGGCATGCACATAATCCAGTGTCCATCGACTTGACTGTCTGTCTGACTGTCTGTCTGCCTGTCTGTCTGTCTGGCTGACCGTCAAACACGCCATACAAGGCCCAGTCCCCCATCCTGACACACACACAGACAGACACGGCAAGGCAAGACCAGGAAAAGATATGTCGTCCCATCCATCCCACATCTCAGCTGTCTGTCTGTCTGTCTATGTGAACGAGCCGAGCCCTACAACCGACCTGTAGATGAAGAAGTCGTCCTGGTTGGGCGACTCGGGTTTGAGCCCCTTCCTGCAGGCGTACCCCACACCCACGTCGCCAAACGACATACCGTCACCGCGCAGCTCCTGCATCTTGTTCTGATGAGATGAGATAGATGAACCAAACACATAGCAACACATACCAACAAACACACCGTCAAATCATCAACCAACCCACACCTCCCTCTCTCTGCTCACATCGAATCCCCTCTGGACTCCATTGGACGGCGCGCCCGAGACGGAGAGGCGTCTGCCCGTGTTGGCGAACTGGCCCATCCAGTTCTGGTCGCCCACCTTGTCGGGCGCCGGTGTGGCCTCGGTCTGGTGGTTGCTGGAGGCCATGGTGCTGCCATTGCCCTCGAGTGGCGGCAGCTGCGTCCCCACCGAACCGCGAGGCTCCTCTTCGTCAGACGAGACGGGCCGCGCCTCGCTGGACTGGCTCACCGACAGCCGCCGTCTGCGGTCGGCAATGCGCTTGCCGGCGGCGTCATCGGTGACGTCGTCCGTGGCGCTCTTGCTGCCGCAACTACCCATACTAGCACCCAGGGTCCCTGAAGCCGGTGGTGCCGCACCGCCGACGGTCTTCCGCTTGGGTTTGGCCCGTGCTGGCGTCTGCACGGGAAGATGCGATAGGGTCCTCTTCTTCAACTGCCGATGAGACAAAATCTTGAACGACGGGGGAAGGGACGCAACGCGGCTGAGCAGGCCGCGTGACGACCTCACAGCAGCACGGCAGGGGGCGGGAGAGCCGAGCCTCACTGGAAATGTGCCAAACGACTGCCTCCGAACCCTCTACGCCAAAATCGCAACCATCGCCACTCGAGCTCGCAGATTTAAATGGTTTCGCCCACGCCCTAAGAACCCTGAGCAGAGGAGGCCCATGCATGGCAGGAGCGGGTGAGCCCAACACCAAGAAGGTGTCGGCATGGATGAGCCGATACAAGAAAAACAATGCCGTGCTGGACACCCTCACTGAGCAGGTGGAGAGGCTCCGTACCCAGGTCCACAAGATGGAGCGGGAGGTGCTGGCAGGCGAAACAGAATACGGCAGAGAGGTAAGGGTGAGGGAGGGGAGGAAAAGACAACAAATGCGACAAATAAATGGGCGAGGAGTGCCGTGCCTGCTGGATTTCGTGTCCAGGTGAATCTCATCCTGCAAGACCTCAAGCGGCGCTCAGAGGAGGCACGGGTACGCTCCTTGACTTAGAGACGCTCCTTGGTCATTCGGCCGCGCAGGCTGTTCTCTCTGCGTGTGCATGTGTGTGTTAGGAGCAGCTGCAAATAGAGAAGGAGAAGAACACGGCCGTGGCGCGTCAGGTGGCCGAGGGCCGCAAGGCCAAGCTCTCATTGCAGAAGCAGTGGGAGTCGCTCGAAGTCGACTATGCCAAGAAGCGCGGCCTGTACGAGAAGCGTGTGCAGGAGAAGGAGGCCCTGGACAAGCAGATAGAGGCCCTCAGCCACAAGCTCGAGAACCTGGCGCTGCAGAAGGCCAAGTGCCAGGCCGAGTTGGCACAGCTGCGCGAAGACAGACAGCTGGAACAGTCATTCCTCGGTCGGTGAACAAACACGGATGCACCGCTTTAAGCTGCATCAATCACTTGTGTGGATGAATGGTGTCGTGTGTGTGGATCGGATCACCAGATGTGCGCAACACGGAGATTCGTCTGTTGTCGGATACCCTGACGTCCACCCAGCACGCATCGACCCTCCACAACGTGCGCCACCCGCTACACCTCGACCCCGCCCTCACAGACGCCTACGAGCACAACATGCACCTCCCACCACCCGCCTCGCACCACCACCAGCAGGGCGATGACCACATCGATCCCGAGCACATCGACCTGGACGACGAGAGTGCGTGTGATGATGACGATCATGACTCGGGCATCCCCCACGCCGTCGGTGCGCCCAGCGGGCCTCTCGACACCATCCCAGAACTTAGCGAGGATCCTTCCAACACGGTCACACCCGCCCGGCACACCCCGGCAGATCGCCTGTTGCTGCCCCCTGCCGGCTCGCTCTCACTCATGCGTCAACAGGGTGTTGGGCAAGACATGGCGGCCGTCGGCACCCCACCGGCCCCCGTGTTGATGATGTGTGAGGGTGGTGTTGGCTGCTCGGGCAGCAACGAGGTCGAGGACGGCAGCAACGAGGCTGTGCAGGGTGAGTCGCCCGAGTGTGTTGATTTGGGTTCGCCTGTGCCGCCGGAGGTGTCGGCGATGCCCACACACATGCCGGGCGAGATGGCGATTGGAGCACAGCAGGCAGGAGGCGTGGGAGGCGGCCAGGGGGCGCGGCGAGAGGTGCAGATGCAGTGACGCAGGGTGGATAGAAGGGAGTAGATGGATGGATGGACGGACGGATGTAAAGGATAGAGAGAGAGATTGAGAGAGATTCCCGTGTGTGTGCAAATCCATCGCATGTGTGTGTGTGCGTGTGTGTGTGGTGGGTGAGTGACTCACTAACGTAGCTGCTAATGTTCAGACAGCATTGACTGACTTGACAGCGACGCAACTGCAGGATGTGGTTGTCTTGTTTTGACGCGTTGTTTGCCTGTGGATTGCGCTGCTTATAAGACTGCACACACAATAGTCAGCCCTGATCACCGTCATCACGGCCATCGATCAGGCTCGCCGTCGTGTGTGTCGTCTCATGAGCCGCACAAGACCAGGACCGCCGATATGACTACTTGTACCTGTTCGGGTGTGCAGAAAGACAGAGAGATGAGGGGGAACGACTTGGGTGTGTAGATATATATGTGTCACAGCGCTGAGTGACTCGACTTGCTGGCGACTTGCCTTTGCTTACTGTATCTTGTCGACTGTGCTGCTCGTGTGCCGACGCGTGCGACGGCAAATCGGATTGGGCACCTCAAACAACGGTGCTCGATCAGGTTCGTTGTCGGGTGCATCGTGCATGATCGGTGCAGGCCTGGCCAAGACAGCTTACTGGAATACTTGATGCGTGTGTATATTGGCACACACAGTGGAATGTCCGCTTCGTTAAGATGACCAGTCAGTCGGCTGATGCAAACCAAACCATGCAAGTCGCGTCGCTTCCCGCGACAGGAAAGGAGCATGTCTCACTCATCCAGTCCACCACATCAGTCTATCTCACGCAGCCACCAATCAGACCAAAACACAAAAATACCCCCTCGTGTGTGTGTGCAGTGCGCAGAGGGTCCCAGAGAGAGGAAAGGTTCGATCGTTTGTATGTACAAGCAGCCCAACCAGCAGTCAGCTTAGCGGCAACCTATACAGACACCACGGACGGCAGGCAGTGTACTGCACACAGTACTTGAAACCAGCCAACCATTCACTCACTCACTCACACTCTCGGATGCAGCCATCGTCATTCAAATGTAATTGATTGCGCGCGTCACGTATGGTGACGAGTACGCACACACGAGCTCCGTTACGCAGACCACCAGTTGGCCCACCACACGCAGCAGCTCAGCCTGGCTGGCTGGCTGGCTGGCTGCTTGTCTGCCTTGGTGCGTGTGGGGACACCTCATCTCATTGACACACTCAGTCACTCACTCAAGAAACTCTCTGCAGCGTAAAGCTACACTCCTTTATATGCTGTCCACGTCACGTCACTCACGTCCGTCATGAGAATACCCTCCCCATCATCTCTGTCAGAGACGCCAAAACTGTTATGCCCTGTCAGACATACACAACACAAACCCACCCGACACACGGAAGACGTCCATCCCTGTCTGCCTTTCTGTCGCCGAGTGCTTCGCTTTGCCACCCAGGTACCTGTTTAGAGAGTGCCTCGAGGAAGGTGTTGCCGGCGAAGAGCAGAAAGACTACTCCCCCTGCCAGCGCTGCCGCACGCTCAGACACATAAGACGTCAGAAGCGAACCTGACATCACATCACGCCACACCACACCACACCACACACACAGAGGCAGATCAGATGCACTCATGTGTGGGGATTGATTGGCAGGGATGGCAAAGGCTTCTCCTGACCTCCGACGACGGCGATGAAAGTGGCGATCATGTGTCCGACTGATCCGCCCACGACGACTCCCCATGGGTTCTTGGCCGCACCCAACGCTATCGTGCTGATCATCGACTTGTCGCCCCACTCAGCCACAAAGATCAACGAAAACGTCTCTACGTAGACACACACAAACACCGCGATGAAGAACAGACAGACGCACCTCCCACAACATAAGCCTTCCCACTCACTGACCAACAAGAATGGCCCATTGTGTGGGAGAGAGACCGAATCGTGTCTGCTGTTTCTCGACCTCCTGCTGGGCCTCTTCGAACTCCTCATTCTCCTCGCCCTCCTTGCCCTCCTCCAGCCCCGCCTTGATGTTCTGCACGCCGAATAACACCAGCAGGGCGGCGGCGGCGTAGTCGTCGAAGGGGACGGTGGTGGTGAAGGGCAGCGCGTGGAACACCTGACCTATCAACACCGATATTGCCGTCATCAGTATCAACGCACCAGTCGTCCCTAATGGCACACACACACACACAGCCACACAGCCACACAGCCACACAGCCACACACACGCAGATCCCATTGGTGGCTGGCAGGCAGGCAGGCAGGCAGACAGGCGTACCGATGAAGACGAGCCGCCTCGAGTACTTGAGCGAGAGCAGGGCCGAGATAAAGAAGGTCTTGTCGCCGATCTCAGACAAAAAGATGAGCGAGAAGCCAGCAATCAGCGCCGAATAGAACTCAGGCACGGCAGTCTGCAGGAAGGGCAGCGTGGGCAGCGTCAGGGCCGCTGGCGGGAAGGGCGGCACCGACGGCAACGGCGGGCTGGGAATCGCCACCGACGCAACAGCGGGAATCACGCTGCTGATCAGGGGCATCAGTGCCACCGCCACAGCAGTTACACCCGCAACCATCTTCCGCAACCTCTTCGGGTTGGCCCTCATTCTTGCAAGCCAGCTGTCCATGTGCGCATGGTCGTCCTCGAGAGGGCTGAAAGACGGTGGGACTGGGACTGGTCGTCGTAGTGGTGACACCACCTCAGGACCATCATCGCGATCAGCGGGTGGGTCCAGATCAGTCACCCGCCTAGACAGCAGCGGCGTGTGGCGGATCTCTGTCAGCGGCTGTTGCCTGCGTGATGCATCTACAGGGATGGCTGTGCGTCGGAGGGCAGCGGGACGAGCAGGTCTGAATGCCGCGATGGGTGCCGCCAGCGACAAAAGCAATGACAGCGCGGATAGAGGCACCACTGATGCTCTCATCGTGGCGTAGCCTGGCGGTGATTAAGGGGAGCTCTCCAAGCTTACTAGCTCGCACGGAGCAGAAAGATTTCTGTGTTCTCCTTCTCCTTGGGCGTTCCCAACGTTCCTACCTATCGGCGAGGCGAGAGCGACGTTTGAATTCTCCCCACCGGAGTGGGAGCGGTGTTTTCATGACCGTCGACGATGGCTGCAGCGCCAGCGAGGCAGTGGCATCCCCTGCCACCTTCCTCGCCACACACACACCAGCGCCGCCGCACAAATCCAGCAGCCCTCGCGTCAATTTCAGCTCACCTGATGATGGTGCGTACCGACCTGCAGCCACCTGTCTGGGACGGAAGCACGATGAGGCTGATGATGTTGACGACAGCACACCCCAGTTCGAGTGGACGGCGACGGCGCAGTCGACGGGCTCGACGCTGTCGCTGCCCGATAGCCCCACACACACCGACACGGCGAGTCCAGGGGCCCTCCACTCCCTCTTTGGCAGACCCCTGTATGCCAAGCTGGGGACTGCAGACGACTCGCCGGCACGCAGACAGCAGCAGCACCAGCATCATCAAGACGCAGACGTCCTGGAGGTCACGAAGCTGACAGTCAGTGTCGACAGTAACAGCGATGCTGCTGTGGCTGTGGGTGTGGGTGTGGCGGCCCCACCACGGAAGCGGGGCAGATTGGAGGCTTCCCTCGGCCTCATCTTATGCGGCGCCTCCGCATTCTTTTTCGCCTTGGCGTGTAAGCAGAGGCAGAGCAGAGCACCACACATGGATATCGACCCACAAAGCAGTCCTCATCACACGACAAACAAACCTTTGTCGTGTGTGTGTTTCCTGCGTGCAGCGATGTTTGTGAAGATTGCGAGCAAGGAGGTCCCCGTCGCCTACATCATCTTCTCGCGCGGCTTCTTGCAGACGGTCTTGGCGGTGGCCAGTATGCTGCTGCAGGGGGTGATGGAGGGGCGGTGGGTCAACTTGCTGGGCCAGCGGGGCATCAGGCATCTGCTCTTCTGCCGCGGCCTGTTTGGGGCTTTCGCTGTGGGCTTGTTCTTCTTCACTGTCACGCAGCTGCCGCTTGGGGACGCGTCGGCCGTCTTTTTCACCTCACCTATTGTTACGGTACAGCAGCACACCGACACCGACACAGAGAGACGGAAAGGCAGACAGACATGTGTTTTGTCTGTGTGTGTGTTTCGCCGTTTCCGCCACTCCACAGGCGTTGCTAGCGTACCTGGTTCTGGGCGAGGCGTGGGCCGCATCCAACTGGATCATCGCTTTCGTGTCCTTCTGCGGTGTGATGCTCATCGCCCGCCCATCTGCGCTCTTCCCCCCCTCCCTCCTTCCCCCCGACCCATGCGCTGCTGGCGGCCACCGGCTGCTGTCAGACCACGAGCTGTACCCCCTGCACGCCGCCCTCGACTGCTCTCACCGTGCCTCGCCGCCACACCTGGTGCCTCGGACAGGGGCCGTGTGTCTCGCCTTCGTCGGCGCTATCAGCGGTATTAGGGTGGGGGAGAGATGCGCATGGCATGTGGTCCAACGTATTCATCATGTGCTGTTCTGTGCTGTCACACGTCACACAGGAGCCGTTGCGCTGTGTTTTGTGCGTTTGATCGGCAAGCGGACGGAGCCTTTGGTGCTCGTCAACTACTTTGGCCTGTGCACGTCAGCGGTGTCTTTGGCGCTGGTGATGGCCTTCACTCCGCCGCAGACAGTTGACTTCGCCTCGGTGTCGATGGGCTCGTGGCTGGCCACTGTCGGTGTGGGCTTCCTGGGCTTCTCGGCACAGTGGTGCCTCAACAAGGGTCTCCAGCTGGAGAAGGCAGGACCGGCAGGTACGGTACCCAGAAAATACACAACCACACCCAGAGTGCTCTCAATCACTCGTCGTCTGTTCTGTGTGTCCGTGGGTGTGGGCGTGTGCGCAGCGTTCATGCGGAATTTGGACGTGGCCTTGGCCTTCATTTTCCAGGTGTGCATACTGGGGGTCCCCCTGGACCCGCTGTCCGTCACCGGCGCGGGCCTTGTAGTGGGCTCTGCCTCGGTGATGGTGCTGCGCAAGTGCGTGAGTGGCCAATAGGGGAGGAGGGCAGAGAGGGCGGCGTGACGCGACGCATGATACGTGCGTGTTGGTTGTGCAGACAGACAGACAGAGAGGGACGTACACACACATTTTCAGTATGTATCCATTTTCATCACGCAAGGTGTGGTGTGGGTGGACGAGCGAAGCTCTTGCGTGACGTGCATCTGTGGCTTTGTTGGTTGATGCGTCTGTCAGTGGGCCTCACGCGGCCCTTGTTGGTTTGGTAGAAGGAAGGCAGATAGGGAGCTTTCTCTGTGCACGGCCAGGCCAGCGTGTGTGTGTGGGTAGTCAGTGCGATGACACGAACACAGGGATGGACCTGAAGGTGGGTGGGAGGGATTCCTTCTGTTTATGTGTGACCTGACCCTATCGTGTGTGTTGTCTGTCTTGATTCGTTTGGAGAGGGTTGAATGGATAATTGACAATTTGAGCTGTTGAACCCCATCCCTCCCCTTACAGCCTCACAACATCTCAACACTGGCTCTCTGATGTCCTGCAGTGGTCCATTTCATCCATCACCTAGAGCTGGACAACAGACGCGATGGATACCTTGAGTGTACCACCAAGTCTGTAGCGCAGCTGGAGGTGACGGATGAACAAGACCACAGTTGCGAGGCGACATCACATCATCAGGTCATGGAAACCCCCCGCCCCATCTCATTTCAGTCCACCCAGCGAGATGTACACCACCGCCGCCACAGATGCCGCCAACGCTCTTCGCCCATGTCCGCAGCAATGAAACAGATCTGATGGATGCTCTGCGTGCATCATCAGGTCTGTGTAATGGCTGTGGACACGGCAGAACGAGACACTGACCACATCAAGTGGGCGCAACAACTGACAGAAACTGGGCAGCCGACACCCTGCTCTGCTCACTACTCAGGAAAATGCGTCATTGACCGGCTGGCTGGCCGACTGGCTGTTGGCAAAATGAGAGCTTCAAAACTGTAGGAAACGCTATGCACATCACACAACCATCTCCCTCCCTCCCTGCCTCCTCTACACACACTCACATACATGCACTGCACACCATCGGTTGGTCGGGTCAGCCTCCCTTCTCGACCGACGCCTCATCCAGTGCACGGCGCCAATCCTTTGCCACACACACACACACACACAGAGAGAGAGAGAGAGAGGCATTCAGGCAGGGCGACAGAGAGAGAGAGAGATGCACACCACCAGTTGGGCGTGTTCTCGCGCCCACACTCACCTCACCTGCCATTTGTCGATTCTGGGTCGGTCGTCGAATCGCTTGTTGTACGGCTGTGTGAAGAAGACGTGTCGCCAGATGGGCTCCATGAGGCCGTCCACCACCGTGGGTTTGTCGTCGAACAGAATGTCGCCCCGGATGAGCGTCTTGTCTCTGGTGAGTATGAGGCGCTGCTTCCACTCGACGCCCAGCTGGTCCACAACCCACTGCACCTTCTCGTACGCGCACAGGTCCGTGCAGTTGGGATCTACACATACAACATGGCCGTCCGGCCGATCAGTGCACTGCACCCCTATATGCCTTCACATACCTACCGGGTGCAGACACGAGGAAGACGTCATGCCCCTCGCTGAGCATCTCCTTGACGGCCTCGATGCCGTAGTCGTTGGGCCTCATGGTCCGCCAGAACCCCGCCACCCCTGTGATGGCCTCGACGGTGTCGAAGTGCTCAGGCGGAAAGTCCTTGGCGTGGTGCCACTGCTGCCGCTGGTGGGGCTGCAGCAGGGGCACCTCGGGGTGGTGGATCTTCATGTGGCGGTTGAAGCTGCGGAACACAACACACACGTGCCCATGCGTGAAGACGCCAGTGATCACTTGTGTGATTGTAAGGATCTTCCCACGCACCTTTCCTCCCAATCGACGAGGGTGTTGTCCATGTCCACCAGAATGGTCTTCTTCGTCCTCGTCGACGCAGCGCCGCCGTTCATCAGACCAGTAAGCGGCAATGCAGCAAAAGCCGCCCGGATGCACAGAGTGTCAGCAGATCCAGATAGTATCGCTGGAATGCAGCTGCATGCACTCACCAAGACCCAGAGAATGCTCATCCAACTCTCCCACCGCATGCGAGCTTGTAGCCAGAAATTCTAAGCTCGCACTTGTCGACGCTAGTCTAGCTGCTGTTCGACAGCACACAAGCCGCCTGTGAATGGCTTGTTACAGCGTATCGACTTTCTGAAGAGGAACGAGGTGTATGATCGCTGCGGCACCCTTGACGCCTGTCTGTCTGTCGGCATTCCCTTTTTTCTATCGCTGATTGATTAGTGGCGTGTTGGTGGCCCACGTGCTGGTGTAGGTGTAGTCTGTCTGTCTATCGTCACGATGCGGATCTTCATCAAGGGCGGCGTGTGGAAGAACAGCGAGGATGAGATCCTCAAGGCGGCGGTGATGAAGTATGGCCTCAACAACTGGTCGCGGGTCGCATCGCTCCTCGTGCGCAAGAGTCCCAAGCAGTGCAAGGCCAGGTGGTACGAATGGCTCGACCCCTCCGTCAAGAAAACAGGTACGTGCCCTTTTCTGCACACGCACTCGCGACACACAGATGGTCAATCGGCTGATGCGTGGACTCTCCCTTTCTCTCTCTCTCTCTCTGTGCGTGCGTGTGTGTGTGTGTGTGTGTGTGTCAGAGTGGACTCGCGACGAGGAGGAGAAGTTGCTGCATCTGGCCAAGCTGTTCCCGACCCAGTGGCGCACCATCGCACCCCTCGTCGGCCGCACCGCACACCAGTGCCTCGAGCACTACGAGAAGCTGCTCGACCAGGCTCAGGGGCGCGACACTGACGAGTCCAACGACCCCCGCCGCATCCGGCCAGGCGAGATCGACCCGCACCCCGAGACCAAACCGTCGCGCGCTGACGCGGTCGACATGGACGAGGACGAAAAGGAAATGCTCTCAGAGGTACGGTGGTGTGGTGTGGGTGGACACACAGCGCAGCGCACTCAGACAGAAGGGGACGGACCACACATGACATGTGTTGTGTTTGTGTCCATCCATCAGGCGCGTGCTCGTCTGGCCAACACCCGCGGCAAGAAAGCGAAGCGCAAGGCTCGTGAGAAGCAGCTGGAGGAGGCCCGTCGGCTGGCGTCGCTGCAGAAACGGCGCGAGCTCAAGGCTGCGGGCATCAACGTGGCCCGCTGGAAGGGCAAGCGCAAGCGGGGCATCGACTACGGCGCCGAGATCCCCTTCGAGCAGCCCGCCCCAGCCGGCTTCTATGAGGTGGGGCCGGAGGAGCGGCCAACGGGCAACCTGAGGCTCGCCAACATTAGGTCAGCAACCAGGGAGGGAGGTGTGAGCGGTGGGAATGTTTGTATGTTGTGTGTGTCTGTGTGTGTTGGTGGTCCTCAGTTTGCAGCAGATTGAGGGTGTGCGCCGTGACGAGGAGGACTCACGGTGAGTCAGCCAGCCAGACAGACAGACAGACAGACACAGGCAACAGGAGCATGTGGGGGCCATGTTGCTGCCTTTTCCTCTCTCAATCTGTGTGTGTGTGTGTGTGTGTGCAGGCATCGAAAGGACGACCGTCGCAAGCTGGACCGTTTGAAGAAGGAGAACCTCCCCGACTTCATGGACAAAGTCAACGCACTCAACGACGCCCAACACGTAAGACCAACCAAGCCACCACACATGGCATGCCCCCGTCCGTCCATGGCCACGCGCACGTTCACCCGCTCCTCTCTGTGTGTGTGTCCATCCATCAGTTTCGGAAGCGCACTAAGTTGAGCCTCCCAGCGCCACAGCTGACCGATACCGAACTGGTCAGTACAGGAAGGAAACAGACAGACAGACCCAACACACGCACGGCAGAGATGACTGGATCGATGGTGACATCTGCTTCTTCCTTGGTGGTTCGCTGATCAGGCCGACATAGTCAAGTTGGGTGCCGAGGGCGGTGCGTTGGCCGAGGAGGCCGGCGGGGACGCATCGGCCAATCTGCTAGCCAACTACGCACAGACACCACGTACAAACCCACAAGACGGCATACAACACCCTGACACATGTGGATCTATATCGTCTGTCTGTGTGTGTGTGTGTGTGTGTGTGTGGGCGTGCAGAGACCCTGATGACGCCGATGCGCACGCCCCGTCAGGAGAACACGGTTTTGTTGGAGGCGCAGAACGCCATCGCACGCAGAGAACAGCAGACGCCCCTACTCGTACGCAACACACAAAACACACACACACACCCAACGCTTGCACGTGGCCACTGAGTGTTGTTGTGGTGTGCTGTCTGTGTCTGTATCTGTACAGGGTGGTGAGAACCCGCAGCTTCACGCGACGGACCTTGACAAGCGTGCCCCGGCGGCCGGCGTGGAGACGCCCCGCACACCCAACCCACTCGCATCGTCACTCGTGCCGGTCAGCCACCCAACACGCAAGACAACACATGCCAATCCATCCATCCATCTATCTCGTTCTGTGTGTGTGTGTGTCCAGGTGGGCAGCGGCACCCCGTCGGTGAAGGGTGGGTCGATGACGCCGGGCGGTGCCTCTGTGGGTGGTGTGGGTGTGAGGGGGGTGGGTGGGGGTGCGACGCCCGGCACGGGCAGCCAGGCTGGCGGCATGACGCCCTTCAGGGACGATCTCAGCCTCAACGAGCCTGGCGCCAGAGACCTGGAGGGACTCTCCAAGTGAGCAACGGAGGAAATAACGGCATGGGAGAGATGTCGGCGTATGTGTCTTGTTGTGGTTTGTGTATCGTGGTTTGTCTGTTGGCAGGTTGCGTATGCGTCGTCTGCAGAGTGAGATAAAGGATTCGCTGGCGAGTCTGCCGGCACCAGTGAATGAGATCGAGGTGGCCATGCCGCCAGACGGACAGATGGATGACGGCAACGACCAGGTCAGCCAGCACCTACCAAACACAGAACACCACACCCGGCACGCGTGTGGTGTTGTGTTGTGTGTGTCAGGGTGAGGCGATGGAGGTAGACATGGAGGAGGTCATCAAGCGGCAGGAGGCTGAGATGGAACGCATAAAGGAGGAGGTCAGAATATGCACCCACGCACAGATCCGCCCCTCCCTCCCTCAATCCATCCCTTTCTCCCTCCCTGTCTCCTCAGGAGCGCAAGAAGCAGACGCAGGTGGTCAACCTGGGCCTCCCGCGGCCCTTCCTGCTCAACACTGTCAAACTGGTGTGTGAATCGGGCCGACACGCGGAGGAAGAGGCTTATCTGGATGGATGGATGGATGGTGTTCTGCTTGTGCCCCACATGTGTATCAGGTGCCGGATGACCTGCCGGACGGTCCTGGCGCGGAGGAGATGCTCAACGCCGAGAAAATGGTTCACCACGAGATGGTCAGAGACCAACACACTCACTGCAGAAGTGACAGATACGTGATGGTCTGTGTGTCGTGTGTGTGTGTGTGTGTGCAGGAGGCGCTGCTGACACACGATGCGCTGCACCACCCTCTCAAGGGCTCTAACGTACGAAGCCAACCAACCAGCCAGCCAGAGACACGGCAGCGGCCACACACATACAATCGTCTGTGTGTGTGTGTGCGTGTGTCCGTGTGTGTGGTGTGCAGCCTCCGAAGAAGGCGGAGCCCATAGAGGACTTCTCACTTGGCGAGATCGACGTAAGCCGCCGGCCACACGCACATCACCACACCACACCAGACACGCGCACATTTATTGACGGTGTGGTGTGGTGTGGTGTTTGATCAGTCTGCCCGTGAGACGTTGGAGGAGGCCGTGTCGTCCGAGCAGGACTCACAGGGCCATGAGGTGGAAGACCCACACAGACAGAAGGCATGGTACGCGTTGCAATACTCACTCACACACACACGGTCCATTGGCCACTCGTGGCTCTCTCTCTGCTCTTCTCTCTCAGGGATGAGGCCATTGCGGCCTACATATACACGCCGTCCTCACGGAAGTAAACAAACCGTCAGCCAGCCCACTACACACACACACATACATGCTCCCTCCCTCCCTCCCTCCCTCCCCCTCTCCCTCCCTCAGGTATTCGTTGCTGCACACGGTGGGCAAGGCCGAGCGCATCTCGTCCCACCAGAAGAGCATCGAGCAGCTCAAGACCTACCTCGCCCGCGAGAGCAAGCGCGCCAAGAAGCTGGAACAGCGACTCGAGACGCTCACCATGGGGTACCAGAAGAAGGCCAAGACACTGCTCAAGAGTATAGGTGGGTCGGCACAGGCAGAGGGAGGGGAGGCAGCTGCCGCCGCTTGGCTGCATTTGTATGTGCTGTGGTGTGGTGTGTGTGGTGCTTTGTGCTGTAGAGGACACGTATAACGACTGGGTGCACCGTGCTGACGAGGTTGACAGCTATCGCATGATGGGCCAACAGGTGCGCTGACGCCACACACGCAACTGCACAGGAGCCATGATGCCTCTTCTGTGTGTGTGTGTGTGTGTGTGTGCAGGAGTCTGCTGCCATCGACAAGCGCACGAGTGAGCTGCGCACTCTGCTTGACCGCGAGAAGAGCAAGCACACCTCACTACAGGTGCCTAACTCTCACACACACGTGGGTGGATTGGATGGATAGATGGATCCACACACATACACATGCCCCTCTCTCTCCCTCCCTGCCTGTGCTGTGCGCCACCCGTACGTACGTGCAGCGTCGCTACGCGAGTCTGAAGTTGATGCGCGAGGAGCTGGACAAGATACTGTTTGCGGCCGACACCGCCCCATCCACACAGATGGTGGACGGCACGCATACTTAAGAGGGGAGGGAGGGGGGGAAGGGCCGGTTAGGGTGGGGTGTGGGCACTTCCTGTGTCGGTGTGCGTCCGTGCGTATCCGTGTGGTTGGTGCATTGCAACAACGTTATTTCTTATCTACTGGTATGGGTGCTGCTGGTTGGTTCATGGCGGCGCGGCGTAGTCCACTACGAGATGAACACGGGAGGGCGGACACAGTGGGTGTTTCAAGCACGGCCCAGCCAATCATGTCATGTCATGAACACATTGACTGACGGTTCCACAAGCAACCGCAACTGTCGCTCCAAGTTGCGATGTCAAAAAACTTTAGCCACCATGGCATGGATCATCCTTACACAGGTCGGTCAGCTGAGTAGGGCGGGGCGGGGCGGGCCACAAAAGGCAGGCAACCCAGCCCCGCCCGCACAGGAATACATACCGTCCAGATGCACCGCACCCACACCGACCGAATGCACACATCGCGTCAGTCAATGAGTCAGTGAGTCAGTGAGTCAGTGCGTCAGAAGTGCCCATTTCGCCACCATACGTAGCTGGTGAGGTGGTTGTACTTCATCGACTCCTCCTGCAGCTGCTTGAACAGCTGCGTGACCTCCCTGACGCGCTCCTCGGCCGCCCCCCGCTCAGTCGCAGAGGGCAGCGCCGGCACCAGGTCTTTGATCCCACACGCACTGTAGAACCGGGTCTCACCTGACAGACACGACACACAGAGAGAGCGAGAGGCACACAGATGAGATGGATATATGTGGCTTGACGGATGCACCACCTATCATGAGCTCATCAGCACTGACTGCCTCACGTGGCGGTCTGTCGCAGTCGAAGAGCTGTTTGGTGAGGTCAAGGTCGTGTGGGACGTCGAACTGGTCGCGGGAGTCATAGTAGTCGAAGAAGTAGTAGATGGTCTTGAAGCCGCACCAGATCAGACACGACAGGCACATGGAGCACGGCTCGTGGCTGCTCACAAACACACAGTCGTGGGGGTGCGGCCGCCCCTCTGCTGGCAGCGCAAAGAAGTCGATGCACGTCTGGGTCTCGCCTGAATGCATTGCACACACCACACGGCCGACACAGTAGTAAGTACGCACACAAGCCAAGCCATGCATGGCCTCGCTTCCACTCCACCTCTTTGCTGGGCTGACCGTGATAGATGGGCCCATTGTAGTCCTTGTTTGAGCCGACAATCACTGTGCTGAGGTCGCTCTTGCGCAGCACCGCCCCTCCGAATATCCTCCCGCCCTCGGCTGTGTGCTTGTGCAGCTCGGGCAGCATCTCCTTCTCCAGCAGAGATGTGAACCGCTCAAACAGCACAGAGGGCTCCGCAGGATGCACCTCGTCTGCTGCTGCTGCCTTTGCTGCTGCCTTTGCTGCTGCGTCTTCTGCAGTCGCTGGAGTGGCAGTGCCTGTGGCCATCTCGATGAGTCGAGTTTTGTCCAGATCTAACAGCTGACCTCTGCAGACCTGGCAATGCCTTCAACCTCGTGCTTCAACCTCCTGCTGGGCAAGGGGCGATCTCCCCAGCTAAGCTCGCAGATGGGAAGGGGACGCTTCGAAGGCTGATACAAGGCAGGTGGAGGCGAGCAGTGTGCCCCTGCTGAATGAAGCGACGTCCTGGATCTCATGTCCATCTCCGCTATGATTGGTGAAGCTGTGCTCTTCTCTGTCATCTCTGCACTGCTGGGAGCAGCCGGCGGTCATGCAGTGCTTCAGCGGATGCCGAGAGACCTGCGGCATACAGCTTTCGTGCCCCAAATCAGACCAGCTCGTCAGACGGTGTCGCGGAGGCGGACGTTGATGAGTGCCGGCGTCCCCGACATCCCGCCAGAGGCGTCGCAGATCCAAGAACAGGCAGCCAAAGATCTCTTGGAAGACATCCGTGGCGTCACGCTGACCGTGCCGCCATCCATCTGCCCGCAGCAGACCCTGCAGGCCACCTATGTGCAGCTGCATGGTGACGATGATGACAAGCAGGAGAGGAGAGATCCGCCAGTGGTGCTGCTGCATGGGTTCGATTCATCGGTCTTGGAGTTCCGTCGGTTTGTCCCTTTTCTGAGAGAGGCGGGTGTCCGGGGCTGGATTGTTGATATCCATGGCTGGGGGTTCGGGCAGCTGGACGGCGGCTGTGACTTCAGCGCCGAGTCGAAGCGGCTCATGCTCTATGAGTTTTGGCGACAGGTACTGTACGCCCATCTAGAGGCACACACAGAGTGGTGGCGAGTTGGTCTCTGCAAGGGTGTTTGTTGTGCTGTTCCAACAGGTTGTTGGTGAGAGGGCGGTGTTTGTGGGAAGCAGTCTTGGCGGTTCGATAGCGCTGGACGTTGCCGCTGAACACCCCGAATGTGTGGATAAGCTGCTGCTGATCGCACCACAGGTGGGTAGCTGCTGTGAATGATCGATGGTTGGCACACGAGCCAAGTGTCTGATTTTCCCTCAATGTCACATGGATGCAGGCGACAATGGAGGGTTTGGGTCCGCTGTCGTCGCTGCCGGACATCATTGGCCGGCTGGGCATCAGGGTCCTCGGCAGTGTGCCACTGCGACAATTCGCAAACCAGCTGGCATACTACGACAAGGTGAGTAAGCTACCCTCCCCGCAGAACACCAGACCTCATGTGTCTGTGTTGATATCCGCAGGAGCGATTGGCGACGACTGATGCGATGCGTGTGGGCCGGCTGCACACGCTGCGGAGGGGATGGGAGGACGCTTCTCTGTCCTTCCAGAAGAGCGGCGGATTCGCTGTTAAGGCCAAACTCAGTCGGGTCAACTGCGATGTCCAGCTGGTGTGGGGGGCCAACGACCAGATCCTGCCGCCAGAGAGTGCACATGACGTCTTGGAAGCGCTTCAGCCACACACAAGGTGGGCGGGTGCATGAGGGAGGAACACAACCACAACTGTCTTGCTCTCGTGTGCCGTTTGTGCACCGTGCATCAGGTCTGCGCGTCTGGCCTTCATCGATCAGTGCGGTCATCTTCCACATCTCGAGAAGCCCCACGTGCTGATAGACCATTTCAGGGACTTCCTGAGGCCGCGGCAGATCAATGGCGATAGGAGGAGGGGGGCAAGGCAAGACAAAGACCAAGTGAAGACGACCTCAGTCGAGGGCTCGCGTGTTGTGGGATGAGATAGCTTTTGACGATAGACACACGCGCAGACATGAGACATTAGTTTAGAGATGAAGCCAAATCAACCATTGCGCTCTTCTTCTTTTGTTTGGTGTCGGAAACACGCAATCAGACGGAACATGCTACCTTGGTCTCGCATCACACACAGCGCTGCTACAATACTCAAAGGTGTCTCACGCACACGATAGTGAGCTAGCTACTGGAAGATGTCATTGGTCGTGCCTCCGCCGCGGCCGAGCTGGTGCCACTTCTGGATGTCTTCGATCTTGTGTGTGTCCACCTGCTGGACTGTGTCCTCCACTATGGTCATCATGTCCTCCATACACACCTGAATACACACATATATTGCAAACACCTGTATTGATTGTCGATTTAATGCAGTGTGGAGGGGCGTACCTGTTGGTCCCAGGGGCATCCAGCAAAATGTTTGATGAAGTCCCCCTTCTGCCAGCCATACCCATGCCACGCCTCCCCAACAGAAGGCAGATACGCATTCAAATGAGACTGAACCACGCACACACAGACAGAGAAAGACAGAGACCACTCTCCTTGCAGACAGACAGCGACCTGTCTCTGTCACTCACTCACCTGGTGGACGAACCGCACTTGTGTTGGTAATTCGCTGTCCAGGTCGCGTGTGTGGTGCGCCTCGGCGACCTTGGACACGTTCATGAGCAGTGCGGGGGGCCCCACGATCTCCCACAGCATCATCGACTGGTCCCACGCAATGTCATGGGGGTTCATTATCACACGCTGCAATGCATCCATCCCATCCAACACACACATAGAAATAAACGCCACCAATGAAAGCCGGCGGGGCGGGCGAATGGATGGGAGCAGACCTGGAGGAATTCTAGCGTCCAGTTAGACTGCTGGAAAATCATGACACCCGTGTTGATGCCTGAGGGCTCCTCTGCAACAAAAACCTCGCCACGGCCGTCCACACCGGGCCCAAGCATCTTCTCTCCGTAAGAGTACACGATGGCCTGGCGGACACAATTACATATACGTCCCCATTCAATGGCGGCGCTTCCTTCCTTGTCAGGCGGAACATCTCCCTACCTCCACTGGGAGTATGAGGTCAGTGAAGAAGGCGTCGCAGTCAATCCACAGCAGGATGTCGGGTGGAGGAGCCGCCGGAGTCTCATGAGTGGACAAACCTGCAGGCAGAGGAGATTGCCGTCCATCACGCGTGCATCATGCATGGCCGCTGTGTGTGTGTGTGTGAGACCGGCGAGTCTTCTGTAGGAGAGAACCAGCTTGCTGAAGTGAGCATCACGGTCTGCAGCGGAGAAAAGTACACACAAGATGAGATGGCGGTATGTAGGCAAAGAGGGAGGGTGTCACTCACCTTCCACTGGCAGTCTTTTGTGGTGAAAGTACTGATACCCATGGATGTCCGCATACAGCTACACACATACGGCAGAACACAAGTCGAAGTACCCGTCACAGCGGCACAACGTGTGTAAGCGTCCCTGCCCACCTTATGATTGGTTGTGGCTAGCTGTGGCAGGGGCGCCCCAGGGGGATAGACACAAAGGTCATGCACCTACAGACACGCACACACAGCCCACACTACCACACAATATATATACGCACACTGAAGCAGGCAGGCACATGGGTCTCCATCTCCCTACCTCTACAGTTGCGTGGGCGAGTCGGTGTGTGGTTGGCGGCGGCTCGAGATCAGGAGGGACCAGCCCCAGCTTCGTGTGCAGGGACACCAACGCGCTGCTGTAATGCACCTGCTGGTAGGGGTTGTATCGCCGTTCGTATCGGTTCTCAGGCACGCCGATGCACAGGTCTGTCTTGTTGACCTCCTGACCCTCAGACGAAAGGCAGTTGTACCAGCGACTCATGGCCTGAAGAAAGGAAAAACACAGCCAACAATGATGGAACAAGCTTTGCGCTCTGTCTGAGATACTCACCCGAATATGGAATAAGTTGCCGAGCCGCGCGAGCCCCTGACCTCTATGGTACTGCTCCAGAGAGGCGGCCAGGTCCGATGCACGGGAGAACCACTCAGCTGCCAATTGAGGGCAGGCGCGAGGGAGGGCAGGCTCGCTGGACATCACTGCTAGGCTGATCAGCATGGCCTGAAGGAACACAAAAGAAGAAATACCCTTGTGGATGGATGGATGAATGCCTTACCTGGAGCGATTCGAGAGGATGGGATACGTAGGTCATGGCGTGAGCCCTAAGCAGTCCTGCCATGACGACCGTCCAGTCCTGCGCTACAGCATCTTCCAGCCGAGGACAGTCCTCCTCGAGGATCTGTGTCGCCACCATCGAAAAGGCGCCTGGATCTGGCGCGCGCACAGCTGCCTCAGCGTCCTCCACCGGAGGGATCTCTTGCTGCTGGACGGGCTCCTGTGGCTCATCTTTGGCGTCATGGCTCTCCAGGATGGATCCCAGATCAGCTCTGAAGGGCTGCAGTTTCGGGATCTGGCCAGGGCGATGTGCCGCACCGGGGATTGCGAAGGACGACAGCTGAGGACGGACAGCAGGGAGGAAGCACAGGAACGTGAGAAAATGGCTCATCGCGCGACTTGGCTCTTGGCTGTTTACGGTTGTAAATTATTCTGTCTTCGGAATGGCGGCATTTTGGGCTGCATTCGCCTTGTTTGTGGCTTCTGTCGCCGCTCTGCGTCAGCAGCGAATGGAACGGTAAGCGCGAGATCTGACGAACGACGAGATCTGAAGCAATCTGAAGCCAAAAGCGGTCCTCCCTCTCTTTCAGGACGTTGGAGAGTCCCGATGTCATCGTCGGCACACTAAAGAACATGCGCAGAACATTCTTTGACAAGGTGCGCATGATTCGAATGGATTGGATTGTGTTGATGTTTCCCTGCCTTTTCCCGCGCGCAGTTGCGTGAGGCGGAGAGAGGCGACGAAAGAAGAGAACTTCAAGGGGATCACGGAAAGTGCAGGCGATGACGCCGACCTCCAGGCATCTGCACTCGCACAGGTACAGGTGACCCACAGGAACGTCCCTTACTCATCGTGCAGTTATCATCGTGTGCGTGTGTCGAAAACCTGTGCAGTGGCAGAAGGAACGGGACACACTCGATGATGAGATTGCTGACACGAAGTCATACATTGAGGCAATGGAGCAGGCTTTGGATCACCTCACATTCGGTGCCTGGCGCAATGACCTGACGGACGGGGACGAGCAGCCCATCACTGCACCGAAGACAGAAAGCGTAGGCGAGAGAAGAAAACTGCAGATTGACACCGTAGCTAGACATGCGGATGTGTGTCTGTGTCATGTGTGCAGTACATGTACGAGGCCTTGGTCCAGGCTGAGTCAGTGATAGAGAGGGGCAAGAAGAGGCTCTCCCGCTCGTGAGCGAAATGATGTAGATAGGTGTGTGTCACTAAAGCGTATAGAGCATGGACTGATACCGATACAGATGTACATGTATCCGCTCAATCGATATCGATCGCATGTCTGTACACGTTGCAGCTGACCAGGGAAAATCATTCAGCCACAACCAAACAAGCTTAAGGGCAACCAAAGCAGACAGACTTGAGCACGCCGCCATGCGATTTCTGTTGGTGTTGATCGCCTTGGAGGCTCTCATGATGCCCGACATTGTGTCATCCCGCCACGCCTCCCACAGCCTCCCACAGTCACAAGCAGACAGCACTCGCCCTCCCAAGCGACCAAAGTGAGGAGGCGACCAATCACGAGGAGAAAGAGGATAACGAAGAGGAACAGTGAGTCTGAGACACATGTGAGAGACACACACATGCACGACCATCAGTGGCTGTCTGTCTGTCTTGCCTATGTGTCTGTGTGTCAGCGGCAGCGGTGAGTCAGTGGCTGATGTGTTGAAACAGGTGGAGGAGGAAGAAGCCAAAGAAGAAGAGTCAGCCATGAAAACACACACACACACACGATGACACATACTCACACCACATCAAATGCATCAACAGGAAGGAGTTGGCGTCTGAGAGAGAGCATCAGGAGGAGATCGCCGCCGAGCGCGAGAGTGAGGCCGACAGACAGCAAGAGGAGGAGAACGAACTCGCACAACAGCAACAACAGCCAGAGTAACCACACGACACACGTCACACCATTGCATCTTCACCAATGTCTCTCTAGCTCTGTCTTTGTGTGTCAGGCCTGTGCTGCCACCTGCTGCTCCTGTTGGTGCTGGTGTGCATAAAGAGAAGCCGTGCGAAGCCGCCAAACACCTCCGAAGACTCAAGAAAGAACACACCGAGGTACACATCCATCAAGAACACGCACACGTCTGTCATGTGATTGGATGCACTTGTGTCTCTGTGTGTGCGTTTCATCGACCAGCACGTGCACGACGCAATCAAAGACATCATCGGCAGTATCATCAGCAAGGCGAGCGACGTGTCGCTGCTCTCGCAGGACGCGCTCGCCAAACCGGGCCAGCCATGAACGAGTGACATAAGTGCGATGCATCGATGGGTGGACGCAAGTGCGTGAGTGGACGACAATCGTGACGACAAGAGAGAGACACGCATGTTGAATGGATGAGTGAATGAGTGTCACACGAGCGATTGTACCGGTGTAGATGAGTCGCCACATCAAAATGCACCACATCACCACCCTCCTCTGGCGATGGATCCAACATCAGTGGCCGCAACCTGAAGCAACAGAGTAATTCCACTATTGCTGACGATATGTGAGCTGCTCACTTGATGGTCAATCAGTTGATGGTCAATCAGCTCTGCCGACCGATGGGATAGATAAGCGACGGTTATGGGATGCGTTATAAGCCTTCACATAACCGTCGCTATTCATTCTGTTCTCTGGTCGTTGTGGCACCTGGCGGGCAGATGGCCAGCAACGAAGCGCCAGAATGGACGGGTGAAGGTCCCTTCTGTTGCTCTGCCGCCGCCCACCAACCGCCCGCCAGACGCCACAACACCATGACACACACCGAGACAGTGAGAGAGAAATGGACAGCCACACACACATCACACAAATGTCAATCGACCAATCGCCGCCGGCAAGCACGGCCCTGGCTGCCCGTTTGTCTCTGACTGTCTCCGTCAAGGAGGCAATGCAACACCGAGAGTGTGTGGTTCGTTACACATTTCTCGTGTCGCCTGGCCCCGCCGACGCCGACAGCACAGAGACCAACAGACACACTCGCAATAGGTGAGGGGACAAACACTCTTTCTGTACTGTACACCCCTTCCCCCCCAAATCATCGACAACACGCACACGACCCTCTGCTTTCCCTCTCTCTCTGCCCGCACCACTCTACATGTGTCTGCCTATCTCGGCACTGGTTTCTTCTCCTTGCCCGCCTTGGGCCACCAGTCCGACCATGGCCACTTGATGAGGCCGTAGAAGTCGCGCAGCATCTCCAGCTGGTAAGGGGTGTAGGGGAACTGAGGCATGGGCTTGTCCATGATCTTGGGGTAGTAGGGGTGCCGCCGCACGCAGTCTTCCTTCTGCGGCAGACGCAGCCGCTCCATCAGCCACTCAACCTCCACATCATCGCTCACCGCCCTCTGTGCCACGCACACACACACACACACAGCAGACAGGCATTTTAATCAATGAGTGCCTGCTCTCTGTGCAGACCTGTTTGTGTGTTGACTCTCCTCTCTCACCTTCAGTTCAGAGCTGCTGAGGACCGGTGTTGGGATGATGTGGGGGTCTGTGTCGGGCTCCCTCGGGTTGTTGGTGACGTTGACCTCTGCCCATTTGGTCAGTACAGGCAGGAAGGACCTCTTGCGGATGACGCGGCACTCCATGTGCCCCACCGACAGGTACCTGTCCAGCAGCCGCTCCTTGAGCTTGTTGCGGCATTGCAGCACCACCAGATCTCTGTGAACCTTTGACCGGAAGAACGCCCGCCTGCTGCCAGATGGCGTCCTCACCACGACAGATCTGGCCGTGTCAGCAAGCGCGGAAGACGTGCTCATGGTTGAGGCGCCTTCTGCTTAGGGTTCAGGATTGACAGTTTAGGGTTCAGGGTTCCTATTAAACCGGAATCATGTCCGAGATGAATGGAGGAGGAAAATGGCAGCAGACGAATAAGCGCGTGGGTGCGGCTCGATTCTCTTGATCACGACAACTCACAACCTAGCTCACAACAGACAGCCCAACCCGAATCCACGCCTTTCGTCCCACCGGGTACCTCTGCCGAGCCTGCTGCTGCTGTTGCTGCTGCTGCCCCTTCTGCTGACATGACGACCAACACCGTGCCTTCATCGAATGCACAAGGCGAGGGCAAGACCGCCGCTGTTGCCGGGCCCATCTTCTGGGGCTTGATGCTCGTATGGGCACTCGCCATCATCATTCTCGGAGTAACCGGGGCAAGTGTAAGTGGAATGCCAAGATCCACGCCGTGGCGTGCATCCACTGACCGCATGGCATATGTGCGTATTGTGGTTTGCATCTATCGGTTTGTGTTGTCAGGTGGGCCAGGACTGGTTGATCGGGCCCATCAATTTCATCTCCATCAACGCTATAATCGCGGCGTACCTGTTTCTGCCGGCCTTCCGCAGGCACTTCAACACGCTGGACCTGCAGCTGCTCTCGTCCATACACATATGGAGGTCAGCCCAGCCAAACTTATACTACACGCACTTACACGTCAGGAATGCAGGCACGGGACGGGCGCGCCTCTCTCTCTGTCTGTGTGTCTTCAGGATCATCCCAGGTGTCCTGTTTTTCTACTACGGCTTCGTCAAGGGCTCCCTGCCGCACTTCTTTACATGGGCCGCAGGCACCGGCGACATCCTGGTGTGTACACATGTGCGTGTGTGTGCGATGCATGAATCTGGCATTGCTCTGCTGCTGTGCTTTCTTCAGGTCGGTGTGGTGGCGCTGCCGATCGCCCTGATGCCCCTGTCATCGGCCGACCGCCTCACGGCCACCGAGCGCCGCCAGCGGCGTAGCTTCCTGCTGACCTTCACGGTGTTTGCGCTGTGCGACTGGGTGGTGGCTGTGGGCAGCGGCATCGGCTCCAACATCCTCACAGTGCCCAAGATCGAGACCCTCACGACCTTCCCTCTGTTCTTCGTGCCGGCCTTCCAGGCGCCCTTCAATGGCGCCATCACCATCCTCACTCTCATCCGACTCATCCGTGGTGTCGAGGAGGTGACCGTCAGCAAGAGAGCGGCCGAGGACAGAGAGAGGGAGGGGGAGACCAGGCCGGCTGCTGTCACGACGGCATCGGTCGTCGGCATAGTCTTCTTTACCTTCTGGTCGATGTGGGCAATGGCTGCCTGGGTGCTGGCGTCCACCGGCGTGACGGCGATGCTCCACACGGGAGCGACGCCGGCTGTGGTGGCGAGCTTCTCTATTGTCCAGACGCTCGTGTATTTCTGTGGGTGGTTTGGCTTCCGTGAGTTCGTGCACTCGCTCAACCTGCAGGCCGTTGCTGCATACAATATGTGGAGGTGGGAGAGCCGCACGGGCAAATCGTTGACGATGCCTCATCCATTTGGTATGTCGGTGTGTGTTGGTCTTCAGGTTGCCAGCGGGGATAAGTTTCCTGTATTACGGCCTCGTGTCGTCCAAGTCGACACTGCCAGTCATGTTTGGGTGGAACGCGGGCATCGGCGACGTGGTGCACGGCCTCTGGGCATTCGTCATGGCCTTCATACCGCACCCACAGGTAGGTAGATCAACACACAGCATAGCCAGACAACCACACACATGCCGTGGATTGGATGTCTGCGCGCCTCCTTTGGTTTCTTCAGGACGTCGGTCTGGTGCTGTCGCCTCCGGGTGCATCGTCGGCCGCTGGCAAGAAGGATGGCTACGACACTCTGGCACTGTGGTGCCACCGTGCTCACGTCGCCTTCCACATTGCGGGTTTAGCCGAGTTCGTGCTGCCGATGATGACAGGCATGCTGAGCTGGCAGCTCGGCAACCCGCTGGCCAACCACCTGATGCATTTCCCAATTGTTTTGATCCCCTGGGTGGGCGTGGCCTCCACACTGCCGCAGCACGTATATGTGTTGCACCGGCTGCTGACCAAGACATTCGCAGCGGAGGCGTAGACACGTGTGAGGGGGAAACAGGAAGGGCAGGCAAGGGAGGTAGGGGGTCGCTTGTACGTTGTGCATATGCGCCAGTGCAGGGCGTGGCGTGGGGCTACGGTATCGGTGTGCAGATACCTGTGGAAGCTTTTCGCGTGTGTTAAAAGTGCGTGTCTGAGCGTGTGTGCAGCTGTGCAGTTTTGTGGGATGTGGTTGACTGACTAGTACTAGCTAAGTGGGTGTACCGCTGTTGTTTTTGAAAGCCGTTAATTGGCTTCTTGAGCACTGTTTTGCCCTCACCTGTTGCGAGTGTGTCTGTTGGTCTCTGTGCTGTCGGCGTCGGCGGGGCCAGGCGACACGAGAAATGTGTGAACAGCCACACACTCTCGGTGTTACCTGACTCCCTCGACTCCGACAGTCAGAGACAAACGGGCAGCCATGGCCGTGGTTGCCGGCGACGACTGGTCGATTGGCATTTGTGTGGCTGTCCATCTCTCTCTCTCTCTTGTTGTCTCGGTGTGTGTCATGGTGTTGTGGCGTCTGGTGGGCGGTTGGTGGGCGGCGGCAGAGCAACAGAAGGGACCTTCACACGTCCATTCTGACGCTGTGACGCCATCCGTAGCTGCCCGCCAGGTGTCACAGCGACCAGAGAACAGAGTAAAAAGCGATCCGATGGTCTCATCGGCCTTTTGATGGTCTGTCATTGACGCAAGTGAACGATGTCTGAGTGTCCGAAACACGCACACACTCTTCTCTCTCAATCGTCAGTGAAGATGCGATAGCCTGCAACCGCACGTCAGACACACACCACGCACCATCCCAGACGGCCAAGTAGGCAACCATTATACTCACTCACGCACATACATACCAGCGGTAAGATTGTGGTTTCTTGTGAGGTCGCAGCAGTTCAGGTAGGCAGGCGAGTCGATGCCCTTGCCATGCTTCTGCACCTGATCACCCTCTGATCACCCACACCACACCCAAACACACGCACACACGCACGCAGAGGAGAAAAGACGGACCTGCATGGCATGTGCCCAACGAAGAGTGAGCGACAGAATCACCTCCGAGAAGCAGTGATGTCTCGTTGTCAACCGGGGGGGCCGGCTGGGCCTTTTTGCCCTTCTGTGCAGAGCACACAACACATGCACTCCCTGCCTCTAGTTGCGGTGTGGGTAGATCATTTGTGTCGTCTAGTGCACCGCATAGAACTGCAGCGCAGCATCAGGCGACGGCGCCCACGCCTTCTGCACAGCGGTGGTCTGCGAGGGGTCCATCCCCTCTTTGTAGTTCTCGGCCACGAGTTTCACCTCCTTGGCGCGAGTGGCCTTGTGGAACTCCGTCATCGACGACATGCCAGCACTGTACGGTACGTGTCGCATCGCATCGCATCGCATCAATCAACAAGTGTGGGTGCATTCATTTTGCTACGCAGAGAGAGGTGATGGGATGGCGGCTCCTACATACTTTGTTTTCATCGTGACTGGGTCGGCTTTCTCCGTCTTCTTCACCCACGAGTAGCCGGCAGGGGAGCCGAAACGGACGCGACTCTCGGTGTCGAAATACCTTGCGCGTGAGACAGATGGATGGCCCATGTATATCAATTGCACGGTATACGTCTCCTGCAGCCTAGGTACCTACATCTTCTCGTGTGCATCGTCGTGATGATCAATGAGCGCCCCAAAGCCACGCGGAGGGCCACCGACAGGCCGTCTGCCCGGCAAGAGGCAGAGAGATACAGACACGGACGGCTGCTTCCTTCTCATCTGCTGTCAGTCAGTCACCTCGATTCGTCGCAGACTTCGAGGATGTTTCTGGGCTGGATCATGCGGGCAGGGAGAGGGGGGTCGGCCACAAACTCGGGATGGGCGGCCCTTCCTGTCCATCAAAAGAGAGAGACGTCTCAAAGGCAACTCTCTTGGTCTGCTCGTCTGCCTGGCCGCTTGCTCCTCTATCGCTCACTTTGGAAGTCGGCTCTGTGCGTCGTCTGCATCTCGCGGTAGCCAAAATCTGAGCCAGCCAGACGGCAGACACACGACTTTCTCTCTCTCCCCCCTCTCGGTGAGTGTCCCGCCTGCTTGGCTCACCCGCGACGGCCCATGATCTGTGGTGCGGAATCCGTGCAGTTCTGTGCAGGATGGCATCCTTGGTCTGCGGCCCTAAAGAGGCCACGATGTAGCTCTCCTGGGGGCGCAGCTGCGCAGCAAGGCACAAGACAGGCAGGCAGGCGGGAAGACAGAAGGTGTGTGTCGGCGACGGGTGAGTGCTCGCAGTCTCACTGTCTTGTTGTCCCTGAAGTCTTTGCTCGGCTGCTCCAGAGCAAACCGCTCCTCAAACCTGACCAAACATGTCCACGGCACAGCACCGGTGTGCATGACCTCTTTGCACTGAGGGAGCAGTCACTCGGCCTTGGCTCACCAGTTGGCTTGCAGTGTTTTCAGCCCATACGTGCCGCGATGCATCTTGACAACAGGAGAAGCGCGGAGGAGCCTTTTTCAGCTGATGAGGCGAGCTCAGTCTTCGAGAATTGCGAGCTCAAAGCGATCTTGACGCCAAAGTTGTCAAAAGGAGACGAGCAGACACCGTATCACCGTCTGTTGGTCACCTCTAAAGACCAGTAGTGTGTTTGGATCCCTTTCTTTTTTTTGGAGCATCGTCAGAGCGGCGTCTGGCATTGGCGTGACGCGTGTGTGGTATCGTAGCTTGAGTGGGTGAGTATGATCAAGATCTACGGCGTGGGGAGGGGACGGGGGAAGGAGGGGGAGAACAAGCCTGCCGCGCCGAAGCGACAGCCGGGAGAGATTCGGATACAGAAAGGTGAGGCCAACACGACACACACGGGCTAGGGAGGGACACGAATGCACTTGTGTGTGGCGCACGCACAGCCAGAAGCCACGAGAAACACCAGATTCCTGTTGTGCCTTTCTTTCTGTGTGTGTGCTGTCCTGTCGTTGCTCTCTGCCTGTGGTCAGAGTTGGATGAGTTGGAGCTTCCGCCGCACACGAGCATCGCCGTGCCGGACAAGAACAACCTGATGGCCTTCCACATCACCATCGCACCCGACGAGGGCTTCTGGAAGGGCGCCACCTACAAGTTCGTGTTCAACGTGCCCGGCGCATACCCACACGAACCGCCCAAAGTCAAATGCGAAACCAAGGTGCGCATTTGCGTCGGCGGAGGGGAGGGAGGGGGATGGTGTGCTTGTGTGGGGGTGGGTGGGCGGGTGATGGATTTGTTGTGGTTGTGCTGTGTGTGTCAACCAGATATATCACCCGAACATCGATTTGCAGGGCAACGTGTGTTTGAACATCTTGAGGGAAGACTGGAAGCCCGTCCTCAGCATCAACACCATCGTATATGGACTGCTGTACCTATTCCTCGTACGCACAGCACACACTCCACAGACATGAATGACATGCCCTCTCACACACGCGTAACTGTTTCCATGTGGGTGGTGGATGCCCTAATGTGTGATTGTCATCAGGAGCCCAACCCAGGCGACCCATTGAACCACGGTAGGGTAGGACACACCTGGGGTGGCGTGACCAACACACACAGAGAGGGAAGCAGAGACCCATGCTGTGCTGTGTGCAATCGTGTGTGTGTGTGTGTGTGCAGAGGCTGCTGATGCGCTGCGGACCGACCGGGTGAACTTCGCACGTCTGGTCGGGCGGTCGCTCAAGGGCGGGGTCGTGGCGGGCGAGTCGTTCCCTAAGCTCACATGACCCGCCCACACGCGTACACCACATACATACGCACCCTACCTACCCTACTCTTTTGCCTTCTCTATACGCCAGTCAGTCTACCTTGCCTGCCTCCCTCCCTCTCTCCCCCTCTCCCTCCGTCGGTATACCCATGCTATTCTTTGTATGTATGAGGAGATTTTGCTATGTCTTGGGTGCAAACCGCCGGCCCGTGTTGGTATACTTTGACGGCGGGCGTCGCGCCGCGTGTGATGGATGAATGGCGTGAAGGACAGAGGCGGGCGGATGGACGGTCTGTCGTTTTGGCCCGCCTCACTTCATTCATCGGATCGTTGACACGTGTGTGTGTGTGTGCGTGCGTGCGTGTGTGTGTGTACCATACATTGATTGAGCTGCCGTGTGTGTGTGTATACATGTCCTCGGACGGACGGACGGACGGACGGATGGATGGGCAATGAGACAGCGAATGAATTCAGTACAAGCGAGGGGAGCGGTCGACTGCCTGCCTGCCTGCCTTTTGTGACCTACACCTTCCTGGTCTGCTTGCCTGCCTGCCTACCTGCCTCTCTCTCCCTCGTGTACCATACCAACCCACGATGCCGTCCACTCACTCCAGTCAGTGTGTGTGTGTGTGTCTTTTTTCCCACTGCTTTGTTTCCTTGCCTTGGTGCGTGCGGCTGTGCATCCATCGATCGCACTGTCTTCTTCTCCTTCGCTCGCCCGAGGTCCTTGTGAAGCATCGTACCTCATTCGAATGTGCGTGACGGCTTCAGCGTTTTCCGGCTCTGGCGAGGAGTTTGTTGGTCCCTGCCGACTGCCCTCGGACGGCAGTCGGCAGGCTCCAACACCTCCTCGCTGTGGCCGCTAAACGCGAGGCTCTGGTGCCAGCCATGCACACAATCCAACACGCCGGTTTTCTCTTTGTTTCTTCGCCCCACCCTTCCTCCCTCCTCTCCTGTACATAGATAGAGTCAGGTGACCGATCGAGCAGACAGACAGTCGTCGGGCGAGTATGAGTATTTTTGAAGACAGGCCAGGCCTCCTTCCCTCGTTTTCCTTCCTGAGTGAGTGCCACGGACGTACGCGGATCTGTGTGGTGTGTGGTGTGCGTGGGGGCGATCCAGTCCATTCCGACTGGCCGGCTATGCTGCTGCCCCCTTGCTGCCCACACACACACACATACACACACATGGATGCGTTGGATGCGTCGAACCTCGGTGCGCTACGCTGACTCTGTCTCAGCTACTTGCTACTTGCTGCTGCTGCTGGTGTATTGTGTTGTGTGCCGTGCATCACCCATCCCGTCCGTACATCCCGTCCGTCCATTCCATGAGTGAGTGTTGGTGTTGTGCAGTGCAGACCAACCAACAATACTTGCCTGTGTGGTCTGCACTGATTGCGCGAGTGTCTGAGTGAGTGTCTGACATCAATCACTATCTATCTACTATCTGTCTCCTTGATCCATTCATCCATCGCTCATCACATACAGAGAGATGCACAGATGGGTCCGTCAACACAGACACACATTTCACGCAACGAACGAGAAATGCCGCCCTCTCTCTGCCGGCTGACGGGTCTGGTCTGCTCATCACACCGTCGCATCAGATTCGCCGCCCTAGCTGTGCTTCCTGGTCACTCACTCCTCAGTGTAGCCGAGCCACCTGAGGCAGCGATGCTGCAAGGAGCAGAAACCGGGCGACTAACACCCACATGACTCCAACCAGACACACTCCAATCCAAGACGCATCCGATCTGACTGCTACATGGATGGCCAAAAAACTCTCAGTGCCTGCCTGGCTGGCTGGCTGGCTCTTGACACACGCAGCATAAGATGACATGGATGCAGCAGCGCACACCCAGTCACGAGTGCTTGGACAGGTAGTCGGCCACACCCTCAGCCTGACGCACAGACAGACAGACAGACATGCACGTGGATTGGCCACACGTGTGTGTGTGTGTGTGTGTCTAGCTTGTGTCTCACCGATGCCTTCATTGCAGGTGCACCCTTCGTCCAGTTCGCCGGGCACACCTAGGCACACGCACACACGCACACACAGGTACGTACGAAAAGACCGAGATTGAGGCCGCCACTCTATCCAGCTGCGTGGCTGTTTGTGTGGACAATAAGTACCTCGCCGTGTTTCTCGGTGTACTGCAGGGCATCGATGATGCGCAGACACTGGAAAGGCGACAGACAGACAGACAGACAGACACACAAGTTCGGATGATGGCTGGCCAGCTGGCTGTCCGCCTGTCAGCCCCCCCGCCCCCCCCCCCGGCACCTCGTCGACGGATCTGCCGAGTGGCAGGTCGTTGACGAGCATGTGGCGGACCACCCCCTCCTTGTCGATGAGGAAGAGACCGCGGAGGGCCACGCCGCCATCAAGCAGCACCTGCACACACCACACAGGGAAGTAGAGCTCAGCTACATGGCATGGCGACCATCCCATCCCTCCGTGTGTGCGGATGGCCTGCGAGTGAGTGGCGTGCGGTGCGTACGCCGTAGTTCCTTGAGATGGACTTGGTGACGTCGGCAACCAGGGGCATCTTGACGCTACCGATGCCGCCCTGCACCCAACACCGATTTATTGCATCGCACCGAACTGCACTGCACACTGCACTGCGCGGCATACCTTGTCGAGCGGCGTCATTTTCCATCCATAGTGGCAGAACTGAGAGTCGATGGACACACCCAACACCTGCACACACACACACACACACACCGCTGTGCGTGTGTTTCTGCCTGTGTGGCCTGCATGGCCTTCGTGTCAGTGCTCGCCTCGGCGTTTCTCTCGTGGAACTGCGGCAGCGCCTTGTCGAAGGCGATGATCTGAATGGAATGCACCAGACAAGACACACCACACCACACCACACCACACCACACCAAGGACGTGATAAATGCGGCGCGGCAGGCCATCCATCACTTCATGATGAGTGTTGCAGTGCACTGATCTGATCCACCTCACCTCGGACGGGCAGACAAAGGTGAAGTCAAGAGGGTAGAACAGCAGCCTGACAGGCACCAAAGCAGACAGACACAGAGGCACACATCACATCGACTAGACTACCTCCTCCACACGTCTGTCTGTCTGTCGGTGTGCTCACACAACGTATTTGCCTTTGAGGTCCGCCAGGCTGAGCTTCTTGATGGAATTGTCGGCAAACACAGTGTCAGCAGTGAACCCTGCACCACACACACCCACACACACACACACACACGCCACGCGCACATACATGCAGATCAGATCTTCAATGCCGTGAGTGCATCGCCTCGTTGGCCTCTCATCTGCCCATCTACTGTACTGTACGGTACCCGGGGCAGGTTTCTGCACGAGGCACTGGTAGTGGTGCGTGCCGGTGGAGAAGACGCGATGCGCTCCGACACATGCTGCCGCCGCCCGGCTGCTGGCGAGGCTGCTGCTGGAGCAGATCGCGGTGCGCGAGATGGTGCTGGCCAGAGGGCGCATCAGGGACTGCATTGCTGCCGATTTGAGAGTTGCGTGGTTGCGCGGGGGCGAGCTGAACACGAGATGGGTACGAGAGGGGCGAGAATCGCGATGAGCCGAGACGGTTCCCCCTTGTGCTCCTTCATTCATCATTCACTCCATCGACTAGTCAACATGCAGCGCTGTGTTGTCCCCCCACCTAGATCACATCACATGGCATCTTACATAACCCACTAGACATTTCCATAGAGTGTGCGGTGTGCAAAGGTAGCAACAGTCAGAGCCTCCTGGTGTGCCTTGCAACGGTGCATGGTGTATTGGTGAGTCCAAAAGGTCAAAACCGACGCACCACGCGGCGTTATTGTGCACACGTGTGCGCCAACCCACCAGCAGGAAGCAAGGTCGTACTCGTATCAACACGGGGGGGGGGGGAGGGGGGACCATCCATGCAATGCATCCTCTGGCTGCCCTTCTTCCTTCGTCCATTCCCTTTGGACACACAGAAACTTCCAGGAAAGCAGCTAGCTACATGTTTCTCTCGGTGGTTCCGGAACAACTCAGGCCTGACCATCTCCTTCCCAAGTGCTCTGTGGCAGAGTCGCCACGCCTGTGCACTGGGGCGGGGGACTGACAGGCATGAGCGGTGCCACTCACCAACCGTCGCCACGGCATTCATTCCATTCTCTGGTCGCTGTGGCACCTGGCGGGGGGATGGAGAGCGTCAAAAGAGCGCCAGAATGGACGGGTGAAGGTCCCTTCTGTTGCTCTGCCGCCGCCCACCAACCGCCCGCCAGACGCCACAACACCATGACACACACCGAGACAACGAGAGAGAGAGATGGACAGCCACACACACATCACACAGATGCCAATCGACCAGTCGCCGACAAGCACGGCCCTGGCTGCCCGTTCGTCCCTGACTCTCGAAGTCGAGCAAGCCAACACACCCCGAGAGTGTGTGGTTCATCACACATTTCTCGTGTCGCCTGGCCCCGCCGACCCGACAGCACAGAGACTAACAGACACACTCGCAATAGGTGAGGGCAAAACGAACACATTCGTGTCGGTCGGGGAGTTCATTTCGACAACACGCCAGCTCAGGCAGTGTGCTGTTCTTACAAGCCGTTCCATTCCATTCCATTCACTACAGCACAAGAGGCCCGCCCAGCCTCTACAATCTCACGGCCCACATGCAGAGCGATAGGTAGATACATACACACGAAGAGAAACTTGTCTGCTCTGTGTGCCCGCCCCGGCTGCCACACACAAGACAACGAACGGCCAATTCATCAACAGGGAGGGGCTCGATGGCGATGGCGATGGGTGGGTGTATTGCGTGCGTCTGATAGATATAAGAAGGAGGGCCCCGGCCAAAACTTCCCTGGCCAAAACCTCCAGTCAGTCGAGATCACTCCTCTCCTTCAACAAATGCGTGTATGCCATGTCTCTCTACAGCACAGCGCAGCACAGGTAATCGAAGGGCCCTTGGTTGATCGAGGAGAAAACCCATGTAGGCGGCAAGGAGGGAGGGAGGGAGGCCCACACAGGCATACTTTTACACAGATAGGCAGTTACACACGAGTGAGACACATACAACACGCATACGTGATGGGAAGTGCGCAGCAAAATTGCGACTGAATAAGGACTGAAGAAGGCCTTCCTGTACACTTGGGTGGGTCGGACGGTGTGTGTGGGTGGGTGGGTGGGTGTTTGGTGCGCTCGCCAGCCCAGTGAGGTCAGTCGCTCGTCCCCTCCCTCCCTCCCCCGCCCATCCATTCAGACAGCCAGACGGCCAGCCACACAAACACACGTCTTCATGTGCACACAGGCAGGACAGACAGAC